CACTTTTATGAAATAACTTTAATAAAAGCACTCTTACAAAAGCACTTTTATAAAAGTACTTTTACTAAAGCATTTTTGTGAAAGTACTTTTATGAAAACACTTTTATAAAAGCACTTTTGTGAAAGTACTTTTACAAAACATCTATGCCAACAGGTAAACATTGACTATTGGCTATCCATTGGTAAACATCTACGCCAACAGTTTTGGAGACCTAGGTTGGCAGTTTATGAATATCGGCATTTTCTTTTTTATAGAATGAAAATGAGCAACATAGGGCACTTGTCAATCTAAAAAGAATTCATTTTTAAGAAAAAAAAAAGTGTTTGATTCATAGCAATATTTTCTCATTATGCCTATTTTTACCCATTCTTGTCCATTTTAGAATTTCATCTTGGATTAAAATGAGAAACAATGAAAATTGAATCAAACATGACCTTAATCTCCCACAAAAAAAAAAAAAATCTTTATACATTTTGCCAAGCATTTTCAATTAAAAGTTGTGGAAATTCCTTGATGTTTTTAGAGGTGGCCTTGTTTCTATCTTTCCAAATGCCAAAAAAACGGAAACCTAGCTTTTTCTAGAAGTGATTAACTATAATATTTATTTATCCCACTTGAACTTTCCTCCACCATTCAATTAGAGAGCCAAATATCAGGTTTCGGGCCTAGGCATGAATTCTTGATGGTGTTTCACACCAGTCTTAAAAGAGCGAAGTCTAGGAATAACTGATTTTCTTTTTTTTTACCAATTATGAAATTCTTTTTTGTCAATTATGAATATGTTATTTTCTTTTTTTATCAATTATGATGTGATTTTCATCCTAAAACCAACCCATTGACGCAATTTTGAAAAAAAAAAACTAAAAACGTTATTAGGTATTGAAACACCCAATGTGCATGAACAGGCATATTGGGTATATCAATACTTTGAACCATGGTTTTTGAACCGTTGTTGACCTGGATGGTCGGACCGTTTGATCCGGGAACTATCCAGGCAATCAGTTCTGTTTTATCGCAAATCCGGCCCTTGGCCAAAAACCGTTGAATCAGTCAATAACCCGTTGATCCGGGCGATTGAACCATCGACCCGTTGACCCGTTCAATAGTTTTTTGCTGTTTTTAATTTTTTTTTTAATTTTTACTATCAAAACGGGCCGTCCATTCGAACCGGACGATCAAACCATCGACCCAAAAATTGTGATCTATGGCTGTTTTTTACAGTTAGTCCCATAGCCCATCCATGGGTAAACTCACCAAATGGATAATTGTGATCCACAATAATCCTCTGCATCTTGGCCCCTTTCGTTAAACCTCACTCCAGTAGCAACCATGTTTGTTTATGCTATGAGAAATATGCTAATGCTACACCACGTATATAAAGAGCTTTGGCAATATGAACTTCATTTTCCTCTTTGCAGAGGACCAATGGAAATGAAACTTGAGAAGATGCAAAGGACAAGCTGAACGGCATAAATGTGTAGTTCTTGAATAATAATTTTGCTTTTGAAATAATTGACAGAAAGGAACCATTCACTGAAAAAGAATTACTATGATTTTTGAATAACATGTTCTCTGGGGCCAAATCGCAGAACAATTCCTGCAACATCTTTAAGAGTTTTTATATTTTATTCAAAGGAAAATTCCTGATCAGTACCCTATACTTCGCCTTGAGTGATAATTTGGTCCCTGAACTTTAAAATGCAATAATCAGTATCTGAACTTTCGAAGTGCGACAATCTAGTACCTGCTGTTAATAGACAGTTATGTATATCACATGACCTCACTGTGATTTAAGACTTTTAGAAATGTCAAAATTACCCTTAAAAATAAAACATTGTTCATCATCTTCTTCCTCAAATGAAACAGAGCCCACTCTCTGTCACAAATACCACAAACACTGCAAATATAATAAATTAATCAGAGAATTCACACAACCAACTTGCTCATTTGGTTCCAATAGCACCGAAGGAGGTACGGCCCGGAGGACGATGGAGCCACAACAGAGACTACGGTGGTGGGTTCAGTGTCCATGGCGGGTGGGGAAAGGAGTTGCGAGAGGATAGAATTATTAACGTTCTTGCCAGAAAACAGACACGTTTATGACGGTTCATCATTTGATGGGTTCCCGATAGATCCCCCCTCCCCCCTCTTAACAGATCATTCTTGTTCATGGTTAATTCCCGGCGGATCATTCTTGCCCGTTGAGGGGATTCATGGAACTATGGTATATTGGTGTTTGTAATTTGGTATTTTTCAAATTTACAAATAACTTATGATCCATTGTAAAAAGCTGTTAAGTTTAACTTGTCAATGTGAAATGTGTCCATGAATTCCCTTTTTGGGTTTACTGAGTTGGATTCCCAGACAAATCAGATTCTGCCATAATTATATATCTAAGTTTTACTTGTCCTTTTCTACTTCATCTTTACTATTTTTTACAATGATGGCTATCTTTTACAGGCTCTAGAAGTTATCCACGAACTTCAGAAGCACTTCCCCATTAAACGATCCCCAATGACACTACGGCTCACGGTACGAGAGAAACTTTTCTTCTATTATGGACAAGCTCAATGCCTGGAATGCCAGCATTGTTTCAAAAGATGAGTCTTGAAATCAGCTGTCTGTGGTAAGTAGTATGAGAAGTGAGGTGTGGTCCATATGCTTTGAAAAGAAATGAATGGTTGATTCTGATTTTAGTGGATGATTGATAAAGAAAATTAGATAGGCATTTGTGTCTTTTTACATGTCACTTACCGACTGATGGCAGGTACCAAATTGTGGCATTTCAAAAGTTCGAGACCAAATTGTCACTTGAGCCAAAGTAGAGGGTGATAGGGAATTTTCCCTTTATTCAAATACCAATTCATAGTAAACACCCCCCCCCCCCGTTAGTTATTCTAAGTCATTTTTTCTCACTGTAACAGCTACATGCAAAAAATCAAAAAAAAAAAAAGAAGGAAAAACTATTACAACTTTACACACTTTGGTTTCCCCTTTAGCAACTGAAGGATGAAATGACACTTGCTGAACAAGATAAAGCATTAATGTGAGTAATAATTTGCACAAAAAATAAAATATCATGTGGCAAGAAATGAAGGTGCTTTGGGTCTAACAAAATGGAAGAGAAACACTCAGATGTAAACTAATTTGGTTTGGTCACTGTGACCTTGGGTCTTCATCACCGAGGAACTGCAAATTCTAGAGAATGTACAAAACGAAATAAAAGAAACGATCAGTATTAGAAAAAGTTTACCCTGACAAGCAGGATAGAAGCGGCTGCATAACAAATGAGCATTGAACAGTTCGAAGAAATAAGAGCTAAAGCAAGGATGACCATGAAAAACCCAGGCAGGGCATTCATATTCAGCAGAAGAATGAATAAGATTTTCACTAAACTTGGAAGTAATTTTAAGACTAAACGTGTTCCACCAACTCAACCATGATACTATGTATTTAACTGAGTGGACAGCTATCCATCAAATTGAAAATGCTTGGAAAATCAGCAATGAGGGAAGCTTAACACTATGAGACTCCTCACAACCGGATTAACTCAGGAATCTGCCTGTCTCCGCTGGACAAGAAAAGATGATAGAGTATGCAGACAACTAGGTGACTACCAGAAGCATGGGGCACGGGATGCTTGTTTCAAGAAACAAAATTGCAAAGAACTTCAGCAATTGACGGAAAGAAGCTTGATATTTACAAGGCCATCTGAGCAAATGAAGGTTAGAGGATAAAAACAATATGGAATCTGGTATAGACAAGGGAAAGATTCCACAAGTGTGCAACAGTTTATGAGCAAAAAGCTAAACAAACAAAGCACAAAACCGAGGGATATACATGCATCAATCAGCTCTTAGGCATGTACATGCTTAGTAACTCCATTGCCTATATTTCTAGGTCACAATTTCTTGATCCTCGCTCAACACATCTCCATCTATGATTGAGGAAGGTTCCCATCTTCCTTCTTGACTCTAATTCCTTTTTCTTTTTCCTGTAATTATCAGGACCAATATCCCATCCATATGCATAACAAAATCACAGGTTGGCCTAAGATTTTCTAGCTGTAATGTCACAGTGGTCTTGAACAAACCAAATTCCAATACGTAAGCGGCATCAATAAGCATTGCCCCAGTACAGTGGACAGCAAAGGCATAGTATCACAGTGTAAGGTGACTCAACTTCCTCTTCAGTTCCCAATATCCCCTCTACTGACCACTTTCTTTCAAAAGGAACTGGTAAATAGTAACAAACCAGTGCCTACTCTTATCATCTTTAAAGACAATAAGAAGAATTTTCTAAATTCATTAAAAACCTTAGGTTGCTGTTTTTGCAAAACCAATGCAGCCAACCTGCAACACCTAAGTACAGGTATCAAATCACAAAGAATGACTAAGGATACCGTCACCATCGAAACCATACAATTCTAATCCCAACTATAAGTAGGAAAAAGGGCCTCATGAATATCCAATAGGAATGGGAAACTCTATCCTTGACTTGATGTATAAAGCCAAACATACTAGGCTCCATTTCTTTCCCTGATTTCCTGTATGCCAAATGGTTTGCCTTTTGTAATAAACTTATGCAAGTTTCCAAAATTATTGGGTGGTTGGGCAAAGGGGAGGAGAAAAGCACAATTTAGAGAACTCTACCCTTGACTTGCTCCAAAGAGACAAACACTCTAGGTGCCCTTTCCTTCCCATCAGATTTCCTACATGCTACATCTTAAAAATGTTTCTGTGCACTAGTGCAGTTTACCATAAGTAGGGGTAGTTTGGTCAAAGGGGATAAACAGAACAAGAACAATTTGTACCTACAAAATTCCAAAAAATCCAACTTGGTTTGAAACAAAATATTGTTATTTACAGGTAAGAGACGCGATTTACCTCAATTCAAACTGAAATAACTAAAATAAAATACCAAACAACACTTCCACATGAAGGAACATAAAATCTCTCCTCCCATAAACTTATGACATATTTATTATGGATAATATGCATCATCATGAAAAATTTCAATTCAGAGTTTTTCATTTGCCCACTGTTAACATAATAACATTACACAAATGCAATAGGTCTCATAAAATGTTAAGACAAAATCAACAACAGGAAAAAAAAATACATCCCTTGATTAACATGAAAAATAACTCAGTAAATAGCATAACAAGACGTAAATCTTGATCAAAGTAAGTAGATTTAGTTTCTCAATACAGATTTCAGAAACCATGGGAAAACAGAACAAGTTTTTTTCCTTCTCAAAGTAACTGAGGAGTTCCTATTCTTTTTGTTGTATAAAGCCTACAGTCCTTGTCACAAGGGTAATGCAAGTCCTATATAATAAAGTAGAGAAAAGTTAGAATACACATAAAGCAAGAAAAATCCATTGATACTAATTAACAAGGCACAAAACACTGATGTGACATTTGATAGTCAGTTGGAACTAAAGAGTTTCAATTTTTCCCCTTCTTAATTTTAAGTTTTCAACAGATGTAGTTCTATTACAAGAGAAGAAGTAAATGAAAAGGCATTGTAAACCAATGCTGAAGCGGGGGGAAAAGGACAGAAATTTCCAATTGAAAAGGGTACAAAAGGATACAATCACTATTCACTAGGGATGCAAAATCAAGTGCTCAAATTGAAGAGTTTCAACTGCACTGGACCACTTGGAAAATTTTACAAATGGTCAGCCCTAACAATCATATAAATGCAAGAATAACAAAAAATTTTGGCTTGTGGAAAAAAAAAAAGAAACAGAATAAAATATTCTCACTACTATAAGAGGCATTGCCAGTACTTGGTGTTCCATGATTATTGAGTGATCACCCATCTTAAGGTAAATGATTTTGTTTTAGTAATTTATTGCATTACTGATACGTTTATAATCTCTTTTTTTTCTCCAGCATACGTTTGTAATCTTTTAACAGAAATGAATTGAGGTCATTTGAGGCTCTTAAGATGAATTTATCTTTATATTTCATTAAGGGTAGTGTAATGGTTTTGTTTTCAATGATGAATTAATAAGGTTCGAATGTATATGGAGAAAGAGGCTCCTTTCATTCCACGTCCTCTTAAACACCTCACAAATCTCAGCTTCGGAACCCCCCCCCCCCATGCATTTAGTAACATTTAAAAAAAAATCGAAAATATAGATCATTCAAAGAAGTTAACTGCAGCAAACAGAAGAAAAAAAAAGTTCAGGGAGAATCAGAAAGGAGACGGCGCATATTGGTCTTCTGTTTTGACGGAAAGCACGTTTGGTCATCCCCATCTATTTCGTTCCCAATATAGAACGTACGAAGAAAAGAATTTCAGAATTTGGGCAACTACTAAACTCCTCTTATCTTCAGCATCATTTAGAAACCATGAGAGTATCTAAAAGACGTAGCTCGAAAAGTCAAAGAACCAAAATACCTTGAGAGAGCCAACTCCAGCAGCTGGAATCAACGGCAATGATGGATTTGAGACGGGCAGAAGCAATGGCGCTGTGGAGCGGCATCAGAGACTCAACACTTCCCAACGCCATGACCAGCCTAGCAAGAAATTATAAGTGATTTGATAGAACATCTCTTCATAGTTTCAATATGAAGAAAATAAACAAAAAGGGAAGCCAGGGTTTTAGTGTCCAATCAAAGAAGTGGAGTTACCTCGAAGCGCAACCAGGGCTCCTTGTAATGGGAGTGAAGGGAGAAGACATTGAGGTTCTTGGAGTTACCACTTTCGAAGTTAGGGTTTTTGGCCTAACTGCGATAAACCTTAAACCCGCCTTTGTAGCAGATCTGAACAGTGTAGCCATTCCTTCTTCAGGAGAGATGGAGGAAGAAATAAAACCCTTTAAACCCTAAACGCATGACGCATCTGCACAATTTAGGCCGACCATATCCGGTCCAGGAATATTCCGAATCGAACTAACCCTCACCTCAATTTTCTTTAATTAAAATCTTAAATATATGATTTGACTAAAGTAACTAAACTACTTTAATACAATTGGACAATATCCAAATCCGAATCCGATTATAAAATTTGATATCTGAATTTGAATTGGATTAAATATTTGAATATTCGATTTGGTTTGAATTTGACCAATTAATTATTTTAGATTTTTAGGTAATTAATAAATATATAAAAAATAGTTTATTTATATAAAGTATATAAATATATAAGTTATTGATATAATTTAATTATTATATATTATATAAAATATTTTTATATATTATATATAGGAATTATATAATCAGCTGAATTTAGATATTTATCGAATGAAATCAGATAATTCTCGAATTTGATTCGATTACTTAAATGGTATGAATAGGGTCATTGCCCTTTTGATATATTCAATGTCAAGCATTTTTATGCTTACTTCAGTGAAAATGGCACCTATGAAGTCTAAGTTCGAGGTCAAGCTCTCCTCAAGTTTACGATAAGCCCAAGATGGGAGTGAGGTTGCAAGGATCACAAGGCTCAGCCACATCCCATGATATTGCGAGGTCAAAAACACAACAAGGCCTTGGACGACGCCTACCTCACTATATTCCAACTTTGTGAGGTCATTTTGCTAGAGCACCACCCACTACGAGGTTGCCAGGTCACCTCGCTAAAACTCGCCTCAATAATTAATTGTTAGGGTACTAAAGGTGATTTTCAACCCCTAGCTATAATAGAATCAAGAGGTTTTTACCATTCAATTCAATTCATTTTTAGAAATCTTAATTCCACTATAAGGTGGAATGAATCTTGATCGTGGACTATTAATAGATTAGGAGGGAGCTGTAATTTTAGATTTATGAGGGGGAGTGCAGTCTACTTATCCCTAGAATCAATTCACCAACAAGGATCATAACCATCCAATCCTGATAGCTAGATCGCATGATGACTTTACCGGCCAAGCTGTTAATCTCCATTTATAGCTTATGGATGTCTAATTGTTATAGCCATCCTTTTTGTTTCTCTCTTTCAGTGTTTTCATTTTGGCGCCAAATTGGAATATCTTTTCTTCTTGAATATATAAATAAGACAGACCAAGTTGTATCATATAAGTGGATTTTGAGAAGAATACACTTTTTGTTGTAGTTTGTGTTGCTTCCCCTTCTTTTCCCTCTTGCTGGACTTGTTTACAGCTACAAAGGTCAAACCCTTGGCATCCATATGTTAAGAAGAGACCAAGGTCATTGCCCTAAACGAGTTGTGAAGCCAAGAGGATAGTGTTACTGACTGCTTTAGTCCTTTACTGTTGTAGAGTTTACATTGCCTTTCAAAAGGCTTACTCCAGAGATAATTAATTATGTAAATTATTTCAAAAGGCTTACTAAATTATTTCAAAAGGTTTACATTGCCTTTCAAAAGGCTTACTCAAAAATTAATTTCACTATATTACTCTTGATTTATTTTGTTAAATTAAAGGTTAATAAAAAATTGTTATTTTTTCTCTAGTTTACTAATGAATAATTTTGGCAAATTATTAATTTATGAAAGTGAAGTAACTTATCTAATTTTGATAATTTTTGTACTTTAGTTTTGGTAATTTTGGTGATTAATTTTGTTATATGGCAAATTAAATTTGTGATCCATTTTGTTATATTAACTTTGGTAATTCTATATATTAGTTTTCCTAAAAATTTTAATTTTTGGTAAATAAATTTTGGTAATGCTGGTAATTTTTGGTAGTTTAATTATTATAATTTTGGTTATTTGGAAAGTTAATTGTGGTAATTTAGGTAAATTAGTTTTGGCGATTTTGTTAAATTTTGGTATATTCCCAAAATTAATTTCACAATTAATTTTATTAATTTTGATAAATTAAGAATTAACCAAAGATGTTATTTTTTCTAATTTATGAATAAATAATTTTGGGAATATTAATTTATTAATTTTGGTGAATTATTAATTTTTGAACATAAATTAATATTGATCATTTTGGTAATTTTTGTACATTAATTTTGTTAATTTTGGTGATTAAATTTGTTATATGGGAAATTAAATTTATGATTCATTTTGTTATTTGAATTTTGATAATTTGAACTATTAATTTTCCTAAAAATTTTAATTTTTGATAAATAAATTTTCATAATGTTGGTAATTTTTGGTAATTTAATTATTGTAATTTTGGTTATTTGGGAAATTAATTTTGGAAATTTAGGTAAACCAATTTTTATAATTTTGTAGTTTTGGTAAATCTAATAATTAATGAATACAACATAGGAAGTCTGTTGCTCTCCTTGCAACTTATTTTTTATTCAATAGCTACACAAAATCATGGTTCTCATACTCTTGAAAGCAAAATTTGGGTATAGAGAATTTCATTTAATTAAAACTTTTTTTTTGAAATTTTGATAAGGGACCTATCACATCATCCATTTTCATCTAAAAACATTAAAGCTATCAATCTATTTGTATAAAATATATCAATAAACTAAAGATATGACATGATATGCCCATTTGAAATATCATATAATTCCTTTTGAGACCAGACCTGCTCCTCACATAGGGCACCTCACACTAACCTCACAGGCACATCTCATCATGCATAGGGAATATCTCTTGTGAAAAATAACGTATAAGTTTGGAAGATGTTCCTAATGCATGGTGGGGATGTGCCTGTGAGATCGGTGTGAGGCGCCCTATGTGAGGAGCAAATCTGGTCTCATTCCTTTTACTACAAATTTTCTTGAAAAAATTTGTACATAGCAAGGGGCCCCGACTAGTTCATCAATAAACTTTGTGAGTTTGAACATTTCAATGGGGAGTTTCGAGCGTTGTGTTATGCTGAGCAGATTCACTCCATCCTGACTCAACTTGTGCTTTGAAGTTTGAATTTAAAACAGATGGGGATGGCCAAATGAGACAGTGTATTGTTAGCTGGTAATCAATTTAATTTAGTAACTAGTAGCGACCCGTGTGATGTATGGGGTTTGTTAAAACAAATTCAAGCGATAGAGCTAGGGGTGCAAGTTGGGTGTATCCAATTCAAGGTCGACCCGATTCAATCAAAGCTTTTGCATGGGTTGGGTTTGAGTTTTTGAACTTTAAAATGGGCTTGAGCCAAAAAACTCAGGCCTAAACTAAACTCAAATTGGGCTTAGGTTGAGGCCTTGGAAAATGATCCAATGCAATTAAAGTTTGCCCAATATCAACCTATTCTCTATTTGAAAATTTAGCTACAAAGCTCAATATGCCCAAGCCCAAGACTCTACCCCGAGTAGGGATGGCAATAAAGTGGGTTCGGGGAGGGTCTTGTAAATTCCAGACTCTACCCGCCTAGCGGGTTGGATTTTGAGAATCCAAACCCTCCCGCACATGAAAATGCAAAACCCTCCCCATATTCAAGCCCAATATGCCCAAGCCCAAGCCTAGCCCGAGTAGAGATGACAACAGAGTGGGTTTAGGGAGGGTTTTGTAATTCTAGACTCTACCCACCTAGTGAGTTGGATTTTGAGAATCCAAACCCTCCCCGCACATGAAAATGCAAAACACTACCCGTATCTAAGCCCAAGCCTAGCCCAAGTAGGGATGGCAACTGAGTGGATTCGGGGAGTGTTTTTTAAATTCTAGACTCTACCCGCCTAGCTAGAGGGTTGGATTTTGAGAATACAACCCCTCCTACACGTGAAAATGCAAAACCCTTCCCGTATTCAAGGGTAGGGTGGGTTGGGTTTAAAACGTGCATCTAATTTCTTATTATTTCTTGTTATATAAAAGCAATAAATAAGTAAAATAGCATAAATAAACAACAAAAAATTCAATTATTTGATTAAGATGTAAAAGAACACAAACTATCAATTATCCTTTACATCTAATTCAAAATATTATTAAATTCAACACCTACTACATAAAGTTTATATGCCTTCCAACAATATGCAAGTTGAGGGGTTGAGTTTAGCCTAATACCGTACCCTACCCATAACGTATGGGTTGTAGACTCCCAAAACCTGACTTGACCCAAAACCCATCCTTCAAACATAAAGAGCCCGCCCCGTCAAGGTTGGTAGGTGTGGATACTCATTGGGTAAGGTAGAAATTTCCATCCTTAAGTCCGAGATGGTTAGTTAAGGTTGAGTTGGGCTTGGGTTGGTAAACTTAGGCTTAACCTTGAATTGGACTAAGCTTAAGCTTGAGGTTTGAGGCTTAGGATTGGATTGATCCTCAACCCGACCCAACCCACTCAAGTTGCACCTAACAGAGACCCATGTGATGCATGGGCTTTGTTAAGAGAAAGCTAAACAATAAAAGCACATAAGAGTAGACAACTATTTTATATTTTAACCTTTTAAATAATTAATAATTAGTTATATTTTATATACTACTTTTAATAAATTTTTTATAATACAAAATAACACTAATTAATTTCAACTAGGTTGTTCATCAAACTAGTGAAACCGACCAACACAACCGAACTTGACTTGAGTTGGTTGGTTTTCTACTATTTTTGGTGGGCTTTAGTTCAGCAATTTTCCATATTCCTTAATCTAAAATATATTATATTATAAATTTAAAATTTTTAATTTATTTTTTAATAATACCATTGTAATTTAAATTTAATTTTTTAAGTTTGAATCTTTTGAACTAACCAACCAACCAAACCAACAATTGACCCAAACCAATATAACCCAAGTTTGTTGGTTTTCATTAATGGTTGGTTGGTTTCGGGTGACCAAACAATATACAACTGAATCGATCCAACCTGTGAACACTCCAAATTTTAGCTAAACTAATAGTTTAATCTCTAATAAATAACACTATTTTAATCCCCAATAATTATTGAAAATTTTCTATTAAATAACAAAACAAAAATATATTTATACATAGTTATTGAAAATATATTTATCACAAAAGTATAATAAATAATTATTAAAATACA